ACGTCACTCTGATCAACACTTAACCCATGACTGTATAACAAGTCAACAACCCTCAGTGCAATACCTTGTAAATATACTGTTGTGTGCAAGTATATCTCGTATATCTTTCTGTAAAACTGCATCTAAACTGTGTGTATATACAGTACACATATATTTTATATTACTATGTGGTTTATTTTAATTTTCCTTTTCTTGTTTGCACGTTTGTTTCCTTTTTTTGTTCTCTCTTATCTTGTTTACTCGTAGCCTTATGAAAGAACACTGTACATGCACATTGACAGTCACTGTACCAGAGTCAAATTTCTCATTTGTTCAACACACCTGGCCAATAAAGCTGATTCTGTTTCACCTACTACAGTCATGGATCAAAGTCACACCCACTGATGTTATTTGTCATCTTCGTTGTCAAACCCATTTTAATTGTAAAGCACTTAAAATTTAGTTTAGAAAATGACGTACAAATATAATTTATATCAGGATGTGAGCTACAGCACTGGGCAAAACAATACTGGCATGACAAAATGCCAAATCCTATGAAAGTTATGTTGCAAAAAAATTTCTGGTTGCTAAGCAACGGCCTCGGAGCAGGCCTGTGGGGTGAACACGGCTATCATGTATAACTTGAGAAGTGAAACCCTGTCTGTTTGCCAACAGCTAGATGGCCTGGTGTGACCACAGTCTGCTACTGAAGACCCTGAACTGGGACCACGAGCGCTGGATACGCACCGATACACGTCTGTGCTCCGGTACTGAAGAGAATCACACTGCTATAATGTAATCCCTAATGAGCATCTAAACCCTGACTTAAACCTAATTATAACATGAATCCTAAAATCAGGTGTTGATTCTTAAAGAAGCCTTGAAGTGCTGATCCTCTGAAGAAGTGATGTTTTCACAATGCCTTATTAAGTCAACTCCTCGATTCTCCTTTCTTGAAAAAATGAAATAAAAATGCAGTCTGGCCATTTATCTTCTCAGTTCTAAGCTCTAGCACTTCTCTCACACATGATCACGGTGTATTTTTGTTAACTCATTCAGGTTGTTGCTTCAGTGGGAAAACATGAACAGTCTGGTGTTGGTTCTGTTGGTGTATCCTGAGCTGCTTTTAAATGTTCCAACTATCCAAACAGAGTGCAATCATTTTTCCCTCTGTCTCCCAACTGACAGTTTCACCAAACCAAGCGACCTTATTTCATATTATCTGTGTGTTTTGAACACACGTTGATCGGGAAGAAGACGCTTGAACAGGATTCACAGTCTCTGCACTCTTGACTGTGATTTCTTGGTTGGGGCTTATGACTGTGATTAATGTTTCAGTGTTTTATTCTGAATATCAATAATAACATTATCAAAATTAAAAATAAGAACAAAGTAAAATATTTTCAGTATTGTTTGGCTAGTGTAAGAGCCAGCAAATGTTGAGTAGGTTGTTATTGTGTTTCACTGTCAGCCAAATTACTTTCATCTGAAGATGAAAACAAAGACATGCACTTAGCAGGATGTGGGCGATAAAACTACATGGACTGCATTATACAACAGAGCAACAGCAGAACTGATATTTCTCAAAGCGCACAGATCTTTTAAGACAACATTTCAGACAACCAAAGCCACTTTTGAATTGTTCTCCATATTAGCATCATACATGAACAATAAACCAGAGTGTTTCTTCTCACTCTCCTCCCAGAAGCACTTTCCAGTAATCTAACTCTAGGAAAGAGCCTGGTGCTCTCTGACCACAGCATGCCGCTCTCTCTACATTATGTCACTGCATATCATTACACATCAGTCAGCCAGTGTCTCCACATCACACGCCCATGTTATAAACATGTACACACACGCCAACATGCACCCCTTTACACAGACACATCAACCTCATTTCTTTTTCTTCGCTGTGGAGAGAAATGACTCAGCAACAGACATACAGTAAGTAGACATAATAAGCAGCTTACGGGTCTTTCTGCCGACAGTCGATCTGCTGCCACGGCGCCACAGTGATCCATGAGCCGATTGGACAAGGACAGACAGATCACCTCACTGGTTTATCTGAAGCTGTATCAGACAATCTTTATAAAAAACTGACAATAAAGGTAGTTTGAAAAGTGACCTTTGTGTTTGTGTAAATAACCGCTGTCCTCTTATAGTGGCTGAGGGTAACACTAAACACACTCCACTTAACAGGCTATTTCACTGAGCTCCGACCCATATATATCCATCCATTTAATGGCTTTAGCTACTTCTCTGTACTAGCCTAATGCATTTTATTTAACTGATAAACTATTAGTTAACTACTTTATACATTTTCTTTATATCATACCAAGTGAAGAACCTGTACCTGTGTCTCAAACAGAGATGCAATTAACCTCATCACCACTTTCTAGAGCCCAGAGTGATGCACTGACCAACAGTCCACAACACAAAACAATAGTGTAATAAGAATGGAAAGAAAAACTGCAGATACTTATATATACAGCAAGCTGGAACAATTAAATGGTTGGCATTATTGTTTGATAAAAGTATTAATTGTAATTGTGATTACTTTTGTCCAGCTGTGTCCAAAGGCGTCCAGATGTTATCACTTGGCTCTGTGATCTTTGCACCTGCCAGGGGAGTTTCAGAGGCTATGCCCTATCATAGTAAAAGTATAACAAGAGATTGTATGACTGAAATATACTCAGTACAGCCATATTTAATGCTTCAGTTGGTAGCATGAGTGCTAAGCCTGGTGCTAATGAATGCAGTGTAGTGTGTTCACTAAAATACAGTAGTTCTTTGGCTTTCCTCAGAACAGATTTGTTTATACCATACACTACATCAGACAGAATTGCAGTGTGCTAACAAAACAGTCACAGGTTTGATTTTCTACAACAGCCCATATGGGTCCAATAACATCCATGTGTCCTGTTAAAACTCAGCCACTCACTATTACTCGCTCACATACAACTGAACAGAGGCACAGTGACAATGCGGCATGCTGTCCACCAACTGTCTACAAGACCTGAAACAGCACCAGCAGGCCAGAAAACTCTGTCAGAATAATGAATGGACAAGTGGGTGTTATATTATTTTTTATACAATTTTCACTACTTTGTTCCTTTTTTCTTACAGTGCAGATGCTTTTTTTTTTGCTTGCTGTCTGCTTTGCTTAGATTCTCTACTCATATCTTTGTGAATGGGCGACTAATAGATACTTGTAATTTACCTTAATTTGTGATAGACACAGAAGGCTACAACTATATTTGTAAAAACTTTTATTACTTTGAGTACTACGCAAACAGCACAAGCCTTTTCTGCCTCTGCCCCAACGACAGCCTTGGCCGGAGGTATTACGTTCTCCGTCCAGCTGGCCCAAAAGTCCACTTGAACTCAAGGAGGAAGTGATTAGTCTTTGGTGGTCGAAAGGTCAAGGTCAGTGACCTCACTCCTGTCCCATTCCTGTGAATTTAACTAGTGTACAGTGACTGGGATTAGCTGAAACTAGTTGTCAGCTACATGTCCCCCTTCTCTACAGAGGACAAAACCGTGGACAATGCTAACTCATAGCTAATTAGCATCAACAACTGAAAACATACAGTAGAAAGCAACACAACATCTGCAGTATTATAACATGAGCAAATGACATTGAACCTTTGCTGCCTCTCACAGGCCAAACACAAACGCATACACAAACACATGCAGCACTATGTGTGACTTTTCCTAAAATAGGCTCACACATCACTAATGAGACAGAGACAGCTTGAGGAAATTTGGCTCTGAAGTACAGCTCTGCTGACCAGTAATGATTTTATGCATCCAGATTCACATCACAGCAGCTCGTCAGAGCTGTGAACACAACAGCTCAAAGTCAGCCCAGTGAAACCTGGCTGTGCAGCTGGGAAAAGACGAGCTAACCCAATTACGCCTGTGCCGACTGCAGCTTTAGACAAAAGGCTGATGTGCTGTATAAATATCCCTAATATGAAACAGATCCTATCAGGACATGGAGCAGTGGTGAAGGTTACAGCACTCCCCCGCCTCTTCAAAACATCTCTGTAATCCTTCCTGTCATTGCACTGGCTTTGTTACACTTTCATTAAGTAAGTTTGGTGCTTTAGCTCTCATTACACAGAGTAACTGTACAAAATTTGTCATGAGATAATGAAGGGCTATGCAGCTTTGACTGAGTGACGCTTGTTTAAAGGGAAGCAGACACAAGAAGTCACTTCTCTCTTTGAAGCCATGCTAAAAGACCTAAAGGTTCAGTGACTAGATTTTACACAACTGCTATAAAAGTGTCCAAACATAACTTCTGCAATACAACCAGTTGCTACAGTCCAAAAGTTGTTTTCTCTTGATAACCATTAGCACAGTAAGCTAGCTGGCACAACAACATGACTGAACATAAAGACATTTATCTTATTTGTTCTTCTCCTGTCTATTCATCTCTTTATATTAAGTGAATTTTAAGTTGTACAGTTAGACGACAAAACCCTAACATCTAAATTCCCTTCTTACATATATAGATTTTATCTCTGAAGACAATAAATCATAAAAGCAAATCAAATCTGTAACTGTATAACAGTGTGACATACAGGGGCCTGGTATTCAGCTTTTTGATAAGTGAGTTTTCAAAGCAATATAACATACTGTATGACAACAAAGAATCAAAAATGCCAAATCACTTGTGCACAAACTGCAGAAGTGTGGGTCTAAAAGACTGTAGAGGCTTTTATTTTAATTTTAACATGTAGGGTTAGAGTAGCAGCTAAGTCACTTGTAAACTCCAAACCAATATATCATGTCATCCCTTCTCCCTGCCTCTATGCTACTGCTACTGTCTAATAGAAGGGGGAAAAAATGAAATTATGAAACACTCAAATCAATATTCCATATTTCCAGAAAGCCTTTTAGTCCCACTCCAAGAAGCCAAAGGTAAAAAAACCCACTCAAGAACAAAATGACCTCGTAAAGTTTCAAGACAGACTAAAAAGCACCGTAAGGCAGGAAACCTGTCCAGCACTCACCTTTTCAGTCTTGTCCAGCCATTCTTTATTCTGGGCCAACTCGGCCATGAAGGCCTGGTGCTTCAGCCATTTCTTATGAAGCTTCTGAGTCTCATCCCAGCTGCTGTCCCTCGCCATCAGCATCTTCTCACACACCCAGTCCCCCAGCTGGGCAAGAGAGGCAGGAAGAGAATGAGAAAGAGAGAGAGGTCTTAATACTGGATGAACATAATTAATGTAAATAACTACTGATATTTTATTAACTGATTCCTCATTTTAAAACAATACAAACACTTGACTGTGTCATACACTCACTCACAGCACACTATCATAATTCATAGATGTATGTTTTGATTAGCCTCTGTTAAATAAAGACAAGATAGAGTGCAACACAGGCAGTGAGAAACACAAGGTCAAACACACACACATGAATATTTAATGCCACATGTAGGCAGACACATGTGTAAACAAGTATGGCGGCAGGTATTCACATGTACACAACACAACTGATCAGTGTCTACAGTATCAGCACACACCCACACAGTAAACAGCCCACACACACACACTTCCACTCTCCATCAAATCTGTATATTCTGCTCAAGAAGACCGTGTCTGTGTGAGGAACACGCACAGTGAAACCATTTCACTCCCGCACTGACAGCACCACCAGCATATTCAGGTCAGCACCGGTACCCTCGTCTGTCCGTCATCAGCATCCTGACACCTGCATGCAGCATGCAACACCTGCTCCTCCACCTTTCTCACCTAACACAACTGTACAGCAAATAACTCGTTTACCGGCAGCGTTTAATAGGAACAGCACACAGGATTGTGGCAGCAGCAGGGAGCTGCTGGTATCCGCATTCTCGCTGGTCTGCCACCACACACGTGCAAAAACGCTTTTCACCGCAGAACCAGATGGAAAAAGAGGAGAGAGAGGATTATACAGAAAAAGAGGTGCCTTCTAGAGAGCCAACTGTAAGGCAGCAACACAAAAGGAGTGCTGAGAGGAGAACGCCGGGCAGGAGGGTAAATAACAATATTGGAGGCTGAAAAAGAGACAGACTGGAGACTTCAGACTGAGGCTGCACTCCCCTCTCTCTTCTCTCTCTCTCTCCGTGCTGTGTAGCTGAAGACTCGCTGCACGCTCAACCAGGACAGACAGGAGGGGTGGAGGCGGATCAGTGACGAGTGAGAGGGCAAGAATGAGGATGGCTAAAAGAAGAAGAATGAGAAGAAGGAGGGGAAAAATCCTCTTCTTCAAAAAAATAAAATGGCAGTCAGCCGAGCCGGTGCACGGGTACCCCTCCCCCCGCCTCACTCCTTCAGCGAGCACGCGGGTGAGCGAGGGAGTGGGCTGGTTGGAGGAGAGATTGAGTGGAGGAGGAGGAGAGCAGTGGGAGGAGCAAAAGCCTGAGATTGGAATTGTGGGGGTGCAGGCTCACCGATCACAGCTAATGATGCTGAGCTGGAGGAGGTGGAGGGCGAAGGTAGGCTTTAAGTGGTGTCCAAGCCAGAGGATGGGAGTGTGATGGGAAAGAAACACTGAAGAAGAGCTTTTTTTTTACTCTGTTAGTGGATTGAAGCATGCCGGTCTCCACTAACAGCCAAGCTCACAACTCATCGATAGCTGCTTCTGTACTACATCCAGCACCCCCTCTGCCATCCCTCTCCCCGCTATGCAGCAGTCCCAGCTGCACTCTCCTTCTCCAGCCTGCCTGCTGCTGCAGTGGTAAAGCTTTGAGAAAAGAGAGAGAGGGAAGCGGTAGAGGTTTGGACAGGAGAGAGGAGGGGTGGTACTGGGATGAGAAGGACAGGTAGTACGGGATTGGACAAAGCAGTGCTTTATCATGAATGATGTACTCGTAGTTTGTTAGATTTAATGCTCCTCCTTCCTTAAAGGGCCGGGGCTGTATTTCAGTCCAACACCTCCTCTCTTTGTCACCTCTCTCTGAAGCCATCACATACAGTCACACATGGTACAGACAGGTAAAGACACACAAGCAAACACACCCCACACACATTAACACACAAGTGTGTGTGCACTCACACTCAAAAGGATTATAGAACACAAACATGGTAACAGTGTGAGCTTGTGTTCATGAACATGAACGAACATGCAGGTTTCATAAAAGCTACTGAAGGGCCACGGCCCGATGCCCCTCTTCAGACTGTAAATGAAATGAACGAGGGAAGAGGAGAAACAGAGAAGGAGTGTGTGCTGGTGGGGGAGACAGAGAATGAATGAGAATTTAAGTAAAAATATTATCAGGATAAGTGACATAGAGGAAATGGGTAGAGAATGACTCGTGGTGTGTTACTGTAATATATAGAGGTACAGTGTGTTTAGCAGTGCATCTTTGGGCACACACACCTGCTCTTTTCTTTAAACAGGGTAAAAAAAAATGCTCACTTGGAGTTGTACTGTGGCTAAAGTAGAACAGGTTGAAGAGGGATATTTAAGATTATATAGAAGGAAAAACAGGATCTTTAGACTTGGGTATTGTTCAGAGCAAGCACAGCCACAAACTACAGTGGGTAGCTGTGGCTCAGGTGTCGCAGGGTTGGCGGTTCAATTTCTCCCCACATGTCGAAGTGTCGTTGGGCCAGACACTGAACCCCAAGTTGGTCCCAGTGGCCAGACCAGCGCTTTGCATGGCAGCTCTGCCGCCATTGGTGTGTGGATGTGTGAATCTGTCAAATGCTTTGTCCAGGCATGGTAGAAAGGCTCTATATAAGTGCAGTCCATTTAGAATTTGCCAAAATTAGAAGAAATTTGTAGAATAGAAATGTCAGAACCCTCAAGACAAAATGAACAATGGTAGTGTCTGCCAGCAGGAGCGTGCACTCTAACGCTACAATGTGAAATAAGTAATGAAGCTCTGAAGTGAAAACAGTCGTTTTGATTTGCTGCTAAAGAACGCCAAAATATAAAGTTGGCTACAAAATAAAATATATATACGAAGAGCTCACCATCCTCCCACACTTCCCTGTGAAACGTCTCTTAAACTTATTTAACCCGCATCCTCATCAGAGTTTAACCAGTCTGTCGGTTTCCTACCTCATGACAGTCCTGGAGAAACCTCTGAAGTTCCCACTGGTCGTTCAGTTTTTCCAGCCACTGCTGGGCCAGCTCTCTGTTCTGGTTTCCCCTGACAGAGTGACAGATGGGGGTTTTAGTTTCATCTTACAATTACTCAAACTTAACACAATCATACACATACACTATTTAGGTTTGTGTGTATCTATGCTGAGTTTTACTAGGTGTTGAAATTTCCAGTAATCAAATTTTTAAATTGGAACGACCGGCAAATGTTTTGCCTGGTGCTCATTTATGTCTCTCTTAAGTAAGTTATTTATGTGAGTAATTAGAAAACATTTGTACTTTAAGCCTGAACCTTGTAGGAAATACACTTTCATGATCCTACACTGGAGTAAACACTGTTATATAGTGATCATATTATTGATTCATTGATTAATTTGTCCCCTCCTTGAACCGCCACCTTATTGTGGTGGAGGGGTTTGAGTACCCGAGTGATCCTAGGAGCTATGTTGTCGGGGGATATATGCCCCTGGTAGGGTCTCCCAAGGCAAACAGGTCCTGGGTGACGGGTCAGACTAAGAGCGGCTCAAAAGCCCTTTATGAATAGAATTAAATCAAGGACCGTGACGTCGCCCAGCATGGCACAGCCGGGGCCTCACTCTGGAGCCAGGGGGTCGGGGCTCGAATGCGAGCACCTCGTGGCCGGGCCTCCCCTCCCAGGGCCCGGCCGGGCTTAGCCCGAACGAGCGATGTGGGGACGTCCTCACATG